TGTGCCTGCAATTTCTATGAAAATGCCATAAAAGAGATTTAATGTCAGGTGTTTGCTTCATTTTCTTATCACCATTAGGCATTGTCCTACTTAGCGTGACAAATTCACTGCCTAACCGTGCTCATGTTTTCAGTATCTTTTACTACAGCCGCCCAGGGTAGCTACAAGGAGCACCTTTTCCCACATAATTACTACTGTTGACGTGAGACAGCACATTTGACAGAGGCGGCTTGCTGTGTTGGCAGGAAGGGTGCCGAGTTATACTGGAATCTGGCCTTTCACATTCACATTATTCTGCCTTTGGAAGAAGGTGCCCTCCACCCCGCACTAAATGTGAGGAAGAAAACTGCTTTGCCTATACAAAACACTCTATTTACAGAGACTCTCTGGGGGGGATTATGATAGCCATGGGTTGGATTTATGGGTGAGCTGTGCTTACCAGGTTACATCTTACAATGCAGGCTGATGAAACCCACTGTTCATGTTAACCGTCTGTGCTCTCTGCACGGAGTGCAGCCCGTGCCTTCCCCTAGGAATCAGGAACCGAGGGCCTGGGAAGCTTGTGCTTTGCATTGAGGAGCTTGATAGCATGCAGCGGGATGGTGTTCTTAGGAAGGGAAACTTCCTTTAGGGCAAATTTTTTTCCCCCACATAGCAGATGTGGAATTCCTCTGTACCTGTTTAAAATTCTAGTTGGGGTTGTTAAACAGCAATTATACATGAAGCTATTGGGAACTAGGGTGAATGTCAACAGAACAGTGTCTGGGTGGGCAGCTACACATTGGATTTTGGTGTGATAGGCAGAGTGACAGAGACTGCAAAGATCAACTGGTCTTCAAGTACCTTATATTTCAGTTTAACAAACTGTTTTAAGGCTTGCCATGATCTCCTTCCAATTTGTAGGTCTACTCTTTCCCACTTTTCCCCAGAACATGTACTTAATTTCAATCAGGCAAACCTTACAGTTTGTGTAATAAGTCACATTCAAGTTCACCTGGTGTTACTTTGCTCATGTTATGCCTTTGGTCTACAGAAATTCATCGAATTCTGCTACTTCTTTTAAGGTACAGATCAAATGCTGCCTGTCTCATTTGACCACAAAAAGCTATATAAATGTTTCCTTTCTCTGAACTATTACTATATTTTATGCTCACTTGTCAGATTTAACTCCCTCATAAATTATATAGCCCTTGATGTCAGAACAAAGGTATATACTTTTTCCAATTTCTCATGATCCTATGTGAATGTTGGAAATCTAGTCAGTTCACACAATTTTCTTGTTTTATGGTTGCAAAATTCCAAATGATTTTTAACATTTTTCTCCTATATTAAAATGACAGTAGTTTTGATCTGCAATACTGTGTCTTTTATTTTGAATTTTTCTTTTTCAGTTCATAAAGAGCCATGCAGAGTCTAGCGCAGGCTCTGGCATATATACCTGCTCAAGAAATGTTAGTTTTATCAACACCACCTTCACTGGCTTTGTTTCCTGTGGCAGGTTGCTATGTCAACATAGAACATGTTTTATGCTTACTTCCTCCAAAACACAGTTGCCCCCACATCCTTCTCCAAGGTCTTCAGAAGGAAGGGCAACCATAATTCGTTTATTTTTATTTTTATTATTTATTTTTGGAGATGGAGTCTCGCTCTATCGCCCAGGCTGGAGTGCAGTGGCGGCAATCTCAGCTCACTGCAAGCTCCACCTCCCGGGTTCACGCCATTCTCCTGCCTCTTCCTCCCGAGTAGCTGGGACTACAGGTGCCCGCCATCATGCCCAGCTAATTTTTTGTATTTTTAGTAGAGACGGGGTTTCACCGTGTTAGCCAGGATGTTCTCGATGTCTTGACCTCATGATCCACCCGCCTCGGCCTCCCAAAGTGCTGGGATTACAGGCGGGAGCCACCGCAACCAGCCCATAATTCGTTTTCTTTCAGTCACCGCCTTTCTTTCCCCCTCCCACGGTGATAATTCTTTCTGCTAGTCAGTATTATTTCCAGCATCTTCTAAATTTATTTTTCCCTTTAACCAATGTGCCAACTACTTTCCCCTAGAAATCTTCCATAATTAATGGACTGTTTATGCATAACTGTAATATTATAAATGCCTTAAACAAATATTATGAATGATAATATAGTTGGGCATTTTTTGTGCATTTCTTTCCAAAATGGTGGCAATATCTTTCAATTGGGTTTCATATATATAGAATGCGTTCAAGGTCATTTGCTTATTTGCTTAGGTTTTCCTAATGCTTCTGTCGCCCAGGTCTGGGTGCAATGGCGCGATCTCGGCTCACTGCAAGCTCCGCCTCCCGGGTTCACACCATTCTCCTCCCTCAGCCTCCCGGGGAGCTGGAACTACAGGCGCCCACCAGGATGTCCAGCTAATTTTTTTGTATTTTTAGTAGAGACGGGGTTTCACCGTATTAGCCAGGATGTTCTCGATCTCCTGACCTCGTGATCCGCCCGCCTTGACCTCCCAAAGTGCTGGGATTACAGGTGTGAGGCACGGCTCCCGGCCCCTAATCATTCTTAATTAATTTTAGATGTAAATAGAATGAGACATTTTTCTGTTTTTTTAAAAAAATTATTTAGCACAAAAGTGCAGCATGCAACAGCTGTTTGAAAAGAACCCAAAATGAAGAATTATAGCATTATGAACTGAAAGATTAATTATGTTTCTTATTAATTTGTTTTCATTTTTGAAACTAGCTTGAATTTCTTCTAAAAGTTGATATTTTTGGGAAAAGGACACATGCTGTCTTAAAAAGCATTGTATTGTGGAATTCGATCCATTTGAGTTTCTGGCTCAGCCATTCCCTAATCAGATGACTTTAGACAATTTATTAAACTTCCCTGAGCCTCACTTTTCTTGTATGTAGAATGGGTATAGAATAGTTGCACCTACCTTTAAGATTTTTGGGTTTATTAAATTAAATAGTGTTTGTAGGAGACAACACAATGCTTGCCATATAGTAAACACTTGTTGCAACTCTGGAGTGATTGTTTCAGCCAAGAGCAAACTTTCCTTATTTTATAGTATACCAACAATTTCCCAGGCACCTAACTTAGCCTGACATTATTTGTAGCTTTGAATTCACTGGAGCCCTGCCAGCTATGGCCCTTAGGGAGTTGCAGAGCTGAGGCTCCATTAATTGAATTGTTTGCCAGTGCCTTAAGGGCTCCCTATGAAAACTGGAGAGAAATGTGGGAGGTTTAGCCATAAACAAAATGTATAAAGGAGAAAATTAATTCATGGTGTCTATTGCCTTAGCATTTACTTTTTCTATCTCATTGTTTACAACTGTCATGTGCCTGGGTATGTGTGACAGCAGCTGTAATGGGATCTGGCATTAATTCAGTTCACAGACATGAGTTTCAAGCATAATATGGTAACAGGTGGCCATGGTGATAAATAACAAGGGGCAGTTCAAGCAGAGTCAGAGAGCTCTAACATGGAATACTTTTTACTCACATATTTATTCATTCATTTATTCATTTTTATTCATCAAATATTTATTAAGGAACTTCTATGTTCCAGGCACTGGTCTAGGTATCTGGGATATATAAGCAAACAGAGGCAGAATTTCCTGCGGCAGAAGCTTAAAGTCTAGAAGAACAGAACAAAACAGAGTAAATATACAATCAAGTAGAACAGATACACAATCAAATACAGCAAATATACAACAAACAGAACAGATACACAATACAATGATAGGAGAAGTATAGAAAGATAGAATAGTATAGAGAGGAACCTACCTGATATATGAGTGATGGAAGGTCTCCTTAAAGGAGTGTTATTTAAGCTGAATAGGCAATAGCAAGAGGGAAGTGTATCTTGTTTCATGGAGAGGAAAATAAGTACGAAAAAGCACAGGGGCTTGAGTGAGCACGCTAAGAATGAGGGCCCGCAAGGCAAGCTAACATTTTGTCACGCCTTAAAAAGGATATTTTAAAAACTATTTATTCAATATTTATTTCTTGGGGCCAGGGAGAAATTGATTTTTCTATTAAGAAAAATTATATGCAAAACACATTCACCTAGTAATTCACTTCACTGGGTCAAAGCAGAGTCAATTTTGTGGAATTATTTAGCAAAACATTCCCCATTTTCTTCTCTTTCTTTAGTTTGTGTGTGTTTTGAGCCAGAGAACTTCTTGGGAGGTGTACTAAAAATGCAAAATTTAGATAATAAAATAAATGACTCATTCCTGATAAATAGCACTATGCCACATATTATTTGGGTTTAGAAATTTAGCTTGCTGCCAACTTTCAGCTGTTACTCAAAATATGTTTTGCAGAAATACTTAAGAAATCAATTTGTGTAGGGGATGGGAGAATATTTTTATTTACATTTGATAATGCTGACTCCTTTTCCAGAAGCAACACCAGTGTACATTTTGCATTAAACGAGGATTTGGGCCAGGCATGGTGGCTCATGGCTGTAATTCTCCCAGCACTTTGGGAAGCCAAGATGGGCAGATCACGAGGTCAAGAGTTCAAGACCAGCCTGGCCAACATGATGAACCACATCTCTACTAAATATACAAAACTTAGCTGGGCATGGTGGTGGGCGCCTGTAATCCCAGCTACTTGGGAGGCTGACACAAGAGAATTGCTTGAACCTGGGAGACAGAGGTTGCAGTGAGCCAAGATCGTGCCATTTCACTCCAACCTGGGTGACAGGCAAGATTCCGTCTGAAAAACAAACAAACAAACAACAACAACAACAAAAACCGAGGAGTTGGAGAGCCAAGTTAGCAAGGCTGATATTTCTAATGTGCTCCAATAAGGTGAGCACCCCAGCTGGTGCAGCACCTAATCAGGCCCTTAAATAGAATGACTGGAGCATAAAGTACAAAGGAAGAATATGTGAGACAAGACCGAAAAGGTGAATGGGGGCCAGGAACAATGACTCACACTTGAGTAGTCTCAGCTACTCCAGGAGGCTGACACGAGAGGATCACGAGAGCCCAGGAGTTCCAGGCTGCAGTGAGCCACGATCACTCCACTGTATTACAGGTTGGGTGACAGAATGAGACTCTGTCTGAAAAAACTACAACAACAACAACAACAACAACAAACTGAATGGAGTTTAGTTATGAAGGACCTTGTATGACATATGAGGAGTTTTCAGTTCATCTATTAAAAAATGTGAGACCATGGAAGAGTTTTAAGCAAGAGAATGACAAGGCAAAATTTTTGGTCTAGAAAGATCTTTCTTGCCGCAGTGTGGACCAAAGCCTCGGAGAAAGACTTCAAAAAGGAAAACGCATTAATAGAATGTAGAAATGATTAAGGTGAGAAATGATAGTAGCTTGAATTAGGGGGAACATCAGTAAGGATGGAAAAATAGTAGAGTTTAGGGAGTGTTGACACACTCCCTAATACTAGAAATATTAGGATAGGCATTATCAGGTGAACCTGTTGTCAGATAACGAAGCTCCATCCCCTAGACTGGAGTTCAAGGGCAGGACTACTCTAGTCCACGGTCACAAGCCATGAATGGTAACAGTGAGATGAAGCTTAAATATCCAAGATGTGAGAAATTATAGACCTCCAGGTAATTAAAATGGGGATCCTGGTGATGGAACTGACATGCCAAGTAGAGACCTTTTTAAGTAAAAGACTATGAGAACAGGAGTGTGGGGGTGGGGGTGATAGTGAATGCTACAGTTCAGCGAGGATGTGGAACTGTGAGGGTCCTGTCTGAGGGCTTTCATGACACACTCTTGTATCAACAGCTAGTTGGAAAGAATGTAAGAGACTAGAATGCTAATAGCTGATAATGACATAATGTTTTACATATTCAGTTTTTGACTTCCTCCGCACAGCAGCCAGAATTGTTAAATAGAAACCTGATCATGTATTCCTCTGCTTAAGACATTTGGGGGTTAGGGGTTGGATCAAGACCAAAACCTTCCTTATGGTTTACATAGCCCTGAGTATTCTAGCTCCTGGGTCACCTTTTGACCTCATCTTAAGGCATTCTCCTCTATCCCTAGGCTTCAGCCATCTGAGTCTTCTTCAATGTTTTAGTTTGTTTCGTTTTAAAAATTTTAAACAATATTCTGCTTATTCCAAGACCTCCAGACATGCTGTTTTCTCTGCTTTAAAACTCTCTTCTCTTCCTTTCCATGTAATTCTAGATTTTAGCCTTAATGCTGCTTTCTCAGGAAAGTTCCCCTGTTATATATTCTCATACTCACTTTCACTTCTTTTTCATGACACTTATAATTAATTAATCATTTCAGAAACAAGTACTCACGTGTCTCTCTTCATGAACAAACTATAAACTTCAAGAGAGGGAAAACCATGTATGCTTATTTGTTGTGGTATATCTTATGCCTAGCACAGTGCCTGACATATGTATATATTTAATAGATGTTTGTTAAATGAGCAGTTGAATCCATGGATTATTTTTATGTACACTGTAGGTATGCCTTAATCCAAAGCATCAGTTTTCTAGTGGTGGCATCAAAATCACCTCATAACAGAGAAACAAGGATCTTTGAATGGAAATGAGCCTTTCTAGTATCCTTTAAGTTGTATTACTTAGGCAGTTACCTACTTTATTTAAGCAGAATGTTATCTTTGTTGGGCAAAAACCTAGTAGACAGAAAGAACAGAAATATACCTAAGCTAGTATGTTGAGGGATGTAATCAGAGGGTAGGAGAGCTAGACCACCTAGTTTGAAGGAATGAGATCCATAAATACAGATCTTCCTAAGCAGAAGGCAGATATTTGAAAGACAGTTTTTTAAAATATTAATTGAAAGTATGAGTTGTTAATTTTTCTTCTTGAATTTTCTACCTCCTCTGTCTTTCATTTGAACACACAACAAGTTCCCTACTTCCTTACCAGATGAAAGGTTTTTGGCAGGATTTTCTGGCTTCTGTTTGCCCATTGAGGATAATAGAATTTGAAGAGAGAGGAAATTGGTATCCCTGTGTGAAAGCAAGAAAGACAGAAGGTTTCAAAGGAGAAAAAGAGCTTTCTCCAGGTTGGGGGTAAGGGACAGGTCTGCCTGTCCTTGAACAGAAGGGACTTTTACTTCTTTCCTGGAAGCACTCAAAAATGTGGCAGGACATCAAGGGGCATATTTACATAGTGAACTAGATAGCTTAGATGCCAGCCTTGTTCAAGATCCTCTTGAAGCACAAAGCATGGCATGGAAATGGCACACCAGTGAATCTGATGATATCACATGGCTGCAGCAAAATTCAGCTTTTGCCAATGTGGACAGATACTGCTAGTGATCAATGTCCTAATGCTTAGATATGGAGTCAAACGCAGAACCATAGCACAAACCTGAAGGTGGGAGAAAGTCTAGAAATAACTGAGGTTGAATTTCTAAGTTGATGGGACTAGCTACTCAGAATTGAAATTAAATGATTTATAGACAATAATGAAATGTAATTTTGCTTAAGATTTATACCTACTACATTAAGCAAGCAAACAATAACAAAAAAGTTATCTTAGTCTTCTCTTTATAAGAGTATAGCTTATTTTTACTTAACAATTTTTAAAATTTTAAGTTGAGTTAAATTTGCAAAATATTTCCAGGAACTTAGCACTGAACCATCTGCACTGAATCAACTGATCTCATCAATAATAGACAGCTCTTAACAGTACCTTAATGATAAGAGTAATAAAACCAAATTCATGGTGAAGTACAGTAGTGTGTGCTTGTAGCCCCAGGTACTTGGGAGGCTGAGGCAGGAGGATTACTTGATACTGAAAGTTCAAGTGCAACCTGGACAACACATTAAGAACCGCCCTCTTACACACACACACACACATGCATGCACATGGGCACACACACACCCTAATTCTAATTCACCATGCTGAACATGTCTATGGGGGCTACCCTTTTTATCGGGATGAAAAAAAATTACACTGAGCACAAGTCTTCCAACAAAGAGTGGATCTATTATCAGTTAAGAGTGACTATGTCAATGAAGCACAAAGGTATGTCCTCCAAGGCAGTCAGATCTATGTTCTCTGCTATAGGAATGTGCAAAGGCAATATGCCTACTGTTAAGAGCAAACTCATGACAGGCTGGCAATATCAACTTATCTTTGCTTGGTGGAGAACTGATGGCAAACAAATGAAATCTGGAAATCAGTATGTTGATTACTTATTTATTTGGCTTGATATTGAAATAAGCTTTTTCTATGTAATCAATTTTACTTGTGAATTCTTTTATTCCATTTTTAAAATTCTATTTTTTCAACAAATATTTATCGAAGGCTCATTATATAAGCTAGACATTTAGTTAGGTGCTGTGGGAGACATAGAAATAAATGAGCTACAGATTAAATACTCAAAGCATTTTTAACATCTGGAAAAAATGATAACCCATGTACAAAAATGACTGTAACACAAGGCAAGTAGTAAGTTTGTAAAAGACAGGATAGAATGATACTTCTTCCTTTCCCTTTCCTTTCCTTTTCTCTCATCCTATCTCCCTTTCCTTTCTCTTCTTTCCTCTTCTCTTCTATTTCACTTTCTTTCCATCAACACTGGTAAATACGATGTATAAAACTGTCCTGAAAAAGTAGAAAATACCAGGTTGGCAATTTCAGCCTCAGCTACCAACACTGGGTGTGTACACTGACAGTAGAATTTAGGGAGTGGCAAAGAGAATAGGTTCTGTCAATTTATATGGAATAATGTTTCCCAAGACAACCAGATGTGAATTTTTTTTTTTTTTTTTTTTTTTTTTTTTTTTTTGCAAGTAAAAAGCCACACAGAAAGGCTGAGATGAGGCAAAATGAAGAAAGCAGGACCATTGGTATGTTGAAGGCAGCTCACATTATAAGAGATGCTTGTTGATTAATTAGGAATTTTGAAGCCAGTTGTAAAACTGTTGGTAGCTTGCAGTCAGCCTAATGGGAGTATTTACACCAAAGAAATAGTTAACTACAATAAATCATGATTGTTTTAAAAACAGAAAGCTGTCTTACCAGTTCAACAATGGAAATAACACCACCAAGAGTTTTTCACCTTCTGATTTTCTTTTTATAAACAGAAAGCTCTTCCACGAGTTCACCAATGGAAATAACATCAAGAGTTTTTCATCTTCTTAGTGAGCAAAGGTATGGATATTCAGTGTGTGAGCTTCAAGAGTATCTAAGGGAGGTGATAACGTGGTTGAGAATATACCAGAGACTACAAACTGTCTGTGCATCCCAGAGGAACAGGAAGCTCATGCAGGTGAAAAGACTGGAGGAGGAGGTATGCTCATGATACCCAGGAAGCCCACCTCCCACTTCTTTGGTCATCAGAAGTAAGACAAAGGACAATTAAATGAGTGGTTAGTAGTTGTTTAGAGAAAAGAGAATTTTCACTTCATATGCTAGTCATTGATAATATTTGCCATTGTGGTTGCTGTTAAGTAAGTTTCTTCCTGCAGGCCTGTGAGAAGGCATAGTACATGAAAGTGGCAGTGCTTTCAACCTGATGATTATTATACAGTATGGACTTTTATTATATAACGAGCAATACTTATATTTTGTTATTCACTTATTTTTTACTATACACTTATACATATGCAGACACAGTAATAAACATCTAAGTGGTACAAGTAGGTACAAAACCAAAAATAAAAGTCTTTGCCTTCTAACTTCAATAAGATGTTTCAGTCTCATCCTGCATTCTACTGCCTTTAATATGCAATCAGCCACACTTCCCAAGGGGCTTTAGTCCCTTTTGTTAAAAAATAGTAATAAAGATCAAATCTAGGGGATAGAAGTAGAGATTTTAGAATTTTACGTGAGAATTGGGGATGCAGCATGCTTAGGAAGCCACCTGAGTTACAGGGCAGAATATTACTTTTCTTTTTAAATAACAGGTAACAATTCTATATCGTTATTTTCAATTTAACCAAGTTTTTATTTTAGCACTGAGAGTTTTTAATCTAATTTCTCTTTCCTCTGGTAGATTTGATGTTATTTATTGTCATACCAAATAGCATTTTGTCTCCTATATTTGGAAGTTTTTTTTTTGTTTGTTTTTGTTTTTTTTTTGAGACAGACGTTTGCTCTCGTTGCCCAGGCTGGAGTGCAATGGCATGATCTCGGCTCACCACAACCTCCGCCTCCCGGGATCAAGCAATTCTCCTGACTCAGTCTTCTGAATAGCTGGGATTATAGGCATGCACCACCACGCCCGGCTAATTTTGCATTTTTAGTAGAGACGTGGTTTCTCCACGTTGGTCAGGCTGCTCTCAAACTCCGGACCTCAGGTGATCTGCCTGCCTCGGGCTCCCAAAGTGCTGGGAGTAAGTCTTTTCTTACTCTGTTTTTGTCCCTTGCCTCAAGTACCCTAGAAGTGACTACCCACACAACTCCCCTTATCAGCATTTTAGAGGAAAAACTGTCTGAAAAGTAAAATAAATTATATCTTTTCCCACAGAATTATAAAGAATATACAGGCAAAAGACACCAAATATTTCATATGGAATGATAAATAATTTGAAGAAAAAAGGACAAATCTTTGAGATTTAGCCTAAAACTATTTTTTAACTTTGAATTTCCATGGGCATTTGTCAACATTTATCTTTTATTTCCAATAACATTGGTATTAAATTACAGTGAATATATACAAATATTTATTAGCTCAATATTATTTTATTAGTCCAATTTTTCAATTAGAGAGTCAGATAATACTCTAAATAATTGTCAAAAATCATCAGAATATTTTGTTATCCCCAGATTCAGGTAGAATAAATTTCTGTATATTTTCCCATTTCACAAGACTCAACTCACAGTAGATTATAGTATATTGGAATATAACATATTTCATATTAAATATTATATTTAATCTACATTTAGATGTTCTGAAATCTCCCTACTAATAGTTATAGAATTTTTTTGTTTATTCCTAATGCTTTTCATGTTCACATAAGCCAAAATGAGAAAATTCATCAAGTTTTACCAATAGAAAGTTTCACCTTCTATGCAAACACATATATTTGCCTAGATCAAGGCATCATATGCCTACACTTCCAAAGTTAATTTGTATTACCTGCATGATCCCTCTAAAATAAAATTCCAATTATTTTATTCTTATAATTTGGTAAATTGAGCCTCAGAAGCTCCATTCATTTAGAATATGCATTTTCCAAAATCTTGACAGGCTGCCCAGGCAAGATTTGTTGAAATCTTGACAGGCTGATTTTGACAATAATAAAAAAATGTGTTCTTAAAATTCTGTGTTGAATTTTAAGCACCTCTCTATCAAAGGGATAATAACTTAAATGCCTCAGATTATCTGTTAGAGACCCTATAAAACAATAATCTCTTTTTTTATGCATTCAATTAACATCAGAATCCATTTAGGGAACATACTTCTCTTTGAGGGTCTTGTGAGGCCCTACACCCAGTTTATTCAAATGTCACTATTACAAAAGACTGCTGCCTCACCTTCAGTCTTCTGGGGCAAGGCCTGGCTGCAGACTCAGGACAGCTTATTCTGTTGTACCAGTTCTCCCTGTTCCGCCTGCTTGGTCCTTTCCCACATTCTTGATGTTCGAGTTCCTAATATTTTACGAACTTTGATCCAGTTTTTTAACTCCTTTATGTGTTCTCCCTCTGCTCAATATTATCCATTTAACAACCCCTCCTATTCCATGTAAGTAGAAAAATGTTTATACAGAGAGTATCTGAAAAGTTGATATCTATAAGTTTTTCCAGAATGATACATGATTCCTAATGATATGAAATTGTAATGTTGTCAACATAATTTATCCAAAGAGGATAATTTATTATCCCAGGCATAATTTTGTTTAGAGGAGATGACTCTTGGATTGGGCCCACCTGAGTTTAGGAAAAGACTAGCAATGCACTTGTTTTCTCCACATCTACTAATCTTGGAGAAATAAGTTTCCTTTATCTTTTTATTCATTTTTGTAGATGATTTAGATCTCAATGTCAGGCTGCCATTTCTTAATAAGAAAGGAATGGATGTTTATCCCTTCAGTAGAAAGTGAAAGAATGTCTATGGCAGAGGTTGGGCAAACTATAACCAGTGGTCCAAATTCTACCTTCAGCCTGTTTTTATGTGGCCTGTGAGCTAAAGATTTTCTTAAAATATATTTTAAAGAGTTGTAAACACACACACACACACATACAACAGGGACTGTATTTGACCTCTGAAGTACAAAATATTTAATATCTGCCTTTTATAGAAAATGTTTGCAGACCTCTGTCTTAATATAGCTATCATAAAATTATTTAAAACATTTTCTGTATGACAGGTACATGGGATTTTGTATATGTTCGCTCATTGAAATCTTATAAGAATCTTAAGTGTATTAAGAGTTGAAGTATTCTCATTTTGGAGATGATAAAACTGAGATGTGAGAGGTTAATATCACATACTTTCTAAATGCCAGAGAGAAGATTTACACTAAGACTGTTAGGAACTAGAGCTGGCACTTACAACTACTATATTATACTGCATCTGAATGTGACCTGACATTTGTTTGTTTGAGTCTATCTCACTCCTGATACTAATCTGCAAGCAGTCCAAACAATAGTGGTGAGATTGGCAGGACACTGCTCATACACAAAGCAAAGAATATACAAGATTCTTTAAGCATATAAAGGGAACCATGACTGTGCACAAGCTGGCTATGTACTGCAGCAAACACAGCAACACTACCAGTTGGATGAGTAAGACCCTCTAGCTCTCAAATTCTCATGAAGTTCCCTGACTTCCAGTAACACTACTTGATCAGATTAATGACTCTTCAGGGTACTATCCTTGATAGTCTCAGAAGATTCATACCTTTTTGGTCCCTCATGACTTCTCTTTCTAGAGATTTGTGCTATGTTCCTGACTGCTTCACATTTGACATTACTGTCCTTGGTAACACTCTTAAAGTATTTATCAGTACTATGAAAAGACTGAGGAGATTACATGTAAATTCTAGGCCCATTACCCTATTGGCAGATTGGGGCCGCCAGGCCTACTGAAGGCATATTCCTGGAATAGCCAGATTGCTGTGCTTTCTTTCCTCAGTATTGGTCTCTGTGACTATCAATTCCGTCAGAGGTTTTGGTCTGTTACAAAAAGAGTTCCTGTCTCTGTTGTAATTTTCTCCTGCATATGCCCTAAGTTCTGGATTCTTCTATTATTCCTTTATTAATTTGATTTTACTTCCCTTGGTTTGGCAGTTGTCTGTTAACCTCTTTAACCTGTCATTGTACTCTATGTCTTTATACGTTTATTCATAATATAGTTTTATAGTGTTATTTCAAGGACACTTTTGGAAGGCAAAGAGAGATAAACATATGTACCAGCTCTAACATTCTGAAGTAGAAGCTATCAAACTTTATGTGACAAGAAAATGCATTTGAGTATATACACTGATAGGTTTCCTATCACTTCATGCTTTATTGCATTTCTTTTCCCATGTTTTTGAAGCTTTCTCATCAACTGTGGAATGATGGAAATAAAAGAATCCAAGAAGTAATTCTTGATTTTAAATTAAAAAACCATGGTTCAGGTGTATAACAGAAATCATTTGGACATATATATATATATATATTTACCAAGACTAGAGAGGATTCCATGCAATGGGAAAGGGTATCAAAGAGGATGTTTGTGGACAAGAGTGATATTCCCATCAAGTGATCACCAAGCTCTGTCTGTCCAAAACCAGAATCCTCTGAGTCTATTTCCTGGGATATACAGGGAACTGAGATTATATCTAGACATCATCCAGTGTCTAGTCAAATGAATGCCATACATTGGCTGTATTGAGTAACTGTTAGGAGTTCTGTTTGTTCCCATTTGCAAAGATCATCCATTGACAGCAGTAAACAAGTGCTTGCTGATCTTCCAAAGTGTTTGAAACCTTGATATTTCATTTGGCCATTAAATGATTCATCCAGAATGGATATACTCAGGTTCATGGCCTGAGGTAGTTTTAAGCTCCAAAAGTATTTTTAAGCTCTCTTTGTAAACCAACAGAGGAAATGACGGAGGAACAATGATTAATCAGAGGCTTCCAGGTAATAGTGGAAACGTAACTACCAAATTTTAGAAGAGTTTTTATTAAATTTATGAAGGCTTGGACAGGTATAGGAGAAACAAGGGTTGTGTTGTACCCCATGGCTAGTAGCAGCAGGGCTTTACCACCCTGAAACTTCAAAGGTCAAGGGAAGAGATTGGTTCCCAGAACCAAGAGAGGGTACCTGTATGAATAGGGCTGACTGACAAGAGCTGTGTCTTCAGCATCCTGACCTCATTCTTCTCTCACTCTCAGACTCTCCTACAGTTGCCTCTCACTAGGATTGCTGTCAAAACTTGTACTAGTTCATATGTTTATTTTAGAAAAGAGTCATCGTACAACTACAAAATAAATACTTCCGCATGAAATTTGATCTTAGAACAGTCCTTCTCAAACTGTGGTAAGAGAGCAGTTGTTGTTAAATTTCAAATTTCCTGAGAAATGGTACTTTCATAAAATAGAATACAAGTTAATAACTCGAAAATAAAATAAAAATAAAGAAGCATGCAAAATGCAAGCCTCAATTAATTTTCTAATATTTAATTATTCAATTCATAGACATAAAATTACTCTGCCAAAATGCCACAAAACTTCTGTTCTTATATCATT